CCTGCAAGAGTGGGTTGAACTCGGTCAGCTCGTGAAAATGATTCACGAGCTGAGTGGGTGACGCCCTCGGTCTTCCAGCAAGGGATTGCTGGTGGCCAGCCAGTCTAAATGATGCTGATTGCTGATCGGGTTTAGCTTCAATGAAACAAGATTCAAACCTCGAGAGGTTTCAGTCGTGTTCGGTTCCTTTCGTTCCCCTGCAAGTCTTTGCCTGCACAAGGACTTCCAAGATTGTGATCAGCAACCTTGGGAATGTTTTCGTCGTTTGTTCGTTCGTGTTTCGTTCTCCCGGGCTTGTAGCCTCGGTGGAGACTTCCAGAATAATGGAGTAGCGACCTGCCAAGATTCCGGGAAATTGTTGAGTGGACGTTTCCACTTCAAGTTTAATGTTAGAAGGTTCAGACAGAACAAGAGTCTCGTGGTTCCGTGGGGTTATGCAATGACGCTAATTCAGGCACTTCTTGTGTCCAGAGTCAGCTTAACCCCCGGAAAGTTTCTACCAACGGAATTCAAACGGAACAAAGAAATTTGGGCCTCGATCTTTTGGCATAGTGACAATCAACTTGTTCCAGCTCTTTTCAAACAAGCTTCCCAGCAATAAGCTGAACGGAACGAAGAGAACTTTTATTGAGCGGAAGCAATCCGTACCCTGGAAAGATCAAGCGACGTCCTCGTCGCTTTCAGGCAAGTCACAGATCCGTTCCCTGTCCAGATGACTAGCAGGAGCTCGAGACAACCCGTCAGGCACTCGATGAAAGCGACCCGGGCGGTGCTCCACATCAAATTGAAAATCTTGATCGAGCGTATACAACCAGCGAGCAAGGCGGCCAGTCGTTGGGCGAAGTTTCCGAATCCACCTGAGAGCCCAATGGTCAGTTCGAACCAAAAAGCGAGGGCCGTTTTTCAGGTAAACCCGGAAATTTGTTAACCCATAAAGAAGCGCCATTAACTCGCCCTCGGTGGCCGTATACCGAAGCTCCTGCTTGGTGAGACAGCGCGAGCCATAACCTACCACTCGCTCCCGTTTCTCCCCTGGATGCAATTGACTAAGAACCACACCCAAAGTGCGGCCCTGGAAATCACAATCGAGGATACAAGGCAGCTCCGGGCGGAACCGGGTGAGAATCGGCTCGGAGCACAACCGGTCTTTGAGATACTCGAAAGCAGCTTGGCACTGATCCGTCCAAACAAACGGAACGGAGGGCGATAGCAAAGTTGTCAAAGGCCGTGCAATTTTCGAGAAATCCTTGATAAAGCACCGGAAGTACTGAAACATGCCGTTCACCGCTTGAAGTTCCTTCAAAGTGGTGGGAGGAAGGAGGTTTCGCACAGCTTGTGCTTTCTTGGGGCTGACTTTGAAGCCTCCGAAGAAAATAGTGTGCCCTAAGTAATCAACCTCTCGGACTGCAATTGAGGACTTTTGAGGATGCAGTTTCAGATTGGCCCAAATAATACGCTCCAAGACTCGATCCAGTCGTTGTGCCAAAGAACTCACCCCCCGGGCATGACAACAAAGGTCATCGATGAAAACTTGCAGAAAATCATCAAATTCTTGCTTCGGAAACACCATCTCGCACAGCCGGACGAAAGTGGCTGGGGCGTTCTTCAGCCCCATGGGCATGACGAGGTATTCGAAAAGACCAATGTTTCTCAAGGTGAAGGCGGTATACTTTCTCGAGGAAGGAGAAAGCGGGACATTCCAAAACCCCCGGGTGATGTCCATGACACAGAACAAGTCAGACTGGCCGAGCTTGTGCAACAAGTCTTCAATTGCTGGGAGAGGTATTTTCCAATCAAGGCACCGACTATTTACCTCCCGGAGATCCACCACCATTCTGTAAAACCCGGGCCGGTTTGGTTTCTCGATGAGGAAAGCAGGGGAGGCCCAATTGGACTTCGACGGGGCGATAGCCTTTTCACGCAAAAGTTGTTCGATGATTTTGATTGCTTCCTTTTGTTCGTGAAAAGACAGGCGGTATGGCTTGATTTGAACAGGTTTCTGATCCAAAAGGTCAATTTCACACTGTATAAGTGTGGTATAGCCCATCTCAGCATCATCCCGGCTAAACGCCTCAATTCTCCGGCGAATCACAACCTCCAACTCCTCCCTTTCAGAGGGTAAAAGTTCAGGCCCAAACTTAAGAGCTGCCAAAATACTTTGAACGTCTTCTTCAGTGTACGGTCGCTTTGGCGGTTGTTCCGGAACAGGGGGTTCAACGGTTTGAATAAAGATGCGTTTTAAGCAGAGGGGTGGTTCAGGAGAACCTTCGGGAATCACCCACCTGAACGGTCGGAAGGTTTCCTTCTTCTTCCACCGCCTCTCTTGAACGCAGAGCTTCTTGTAAGCGACCCGGCTGTACACCTTCTTGGCCCAGTTGATCCCGGTCCGGAAATCTGCAAGATCAGAGATCCATACGCAGCTTAGAATTGGACCGTGATCAACGTTTGGCCGGTATTCCGTCCAGTGCGGACGGTTCGCTTCCCGTTTTTTGGCAGCTCGATCTTCGGGGCAATCTGATTCACCCAGCCATCCGGAACATCTGCAGCGGTGATGAGAAAGATGTCATCCGGTGTTCTAGGCTTCTCTCGAGGGAGGAGAGGCAGTCGAACAATTGTAGAGGCGTATTGGAACCGGACCTCGCCCTCACTCCTCATGATGTCGCCCTGCAAGACTGTCATAATCTCGTTTCCGAGGAGGAGATTAAAACGACAAGTCCGGGGCATGACCACCACAAAGGTTCGAACTGTAATTGGACCCAGTCTGATTGTCAACCGAACCACCCCTTTAGCTTTCTGCACCTCCCCACCGGCGGTCCTGTAAGTATAATTGGTGGGTCGGATTTTGTCAGAAAGGTTAAGGGTTTCCAGAATTCGCTCGTTTATTCCTGACGAAGTTGCGCCGGAGTCTACGACGGCCCGGAATGTGTGAGGCGTCTTTTGATCGTCGTCAATCTGCAACGAGACTTCAGTCTGGTAGTTAGTCCGGTCAGACTTTGGGTCAATGTCAACCTTAAGGTTCACTTGAACCTCGGAGGAGGGGTTAACCAATCGCTTTTCAACCCGGGGCCTTTTCCGTTGCTGCTCCGCTGCGGTATGGTGAAGCCGGACCTCGGGGCCTTGTCGAGACTTACTCTCGTGCCCAAACAGATCATCAATGTGATGATGCAGATCTGTACGGAAATGCGGGAGGTGGCGGTGAGCAGCCAAAGCAGGCCCAGCATCTTTCAAAATGAGTTTGATGATTCGCAAGTTGGAATCTTTGCGAGTTTGGCGGTTTCCTCCGTTTTGCTTGCCTTCTTGACTTCTCCTCTGCCGAAAGCGGTTTGGAAAGCGGTTCCCTTTGCTCCGGCAACGTTTCGAGTTTCCGGCCCCCTCTAGTTACTCGGGGACCATGATAGCAATCTCCTGTCTCATCCTCTGACGACGAATAATCGGCCTCCGAATCAGACAACTCCTCGCTGCACTGGAGATCATTAGAAACCCGAACATCCATGGGGTAGATGTGACCTTCTTCCCAGTTTGGTTGAGCATGTGCATGCCCAACGTCCACAGCCTGCTCAAAGAAATGGACATTTCCGGGAGGTGGATTGTGAGCAGGCGGTGGGGGAATTGGGTTAGCAGCCTTTTGAGAGCATCCGTTTTTGTGATGTCCCCACCAGTTGCAACAGGAAAAAAGCGGTACTGCAGCTGGGTTTGCACAGTCCCTCAAAAGGTGTCCGGACTGCAAGCATTTGGGACAGCGACCAGGAGGCCTCGGAGGATTGTTATTGAAGCCTTCAAACGGCCGTTTGCCGTTTGAGTTCAAATTCCTAGTGTTCCGGGGTCCTGACGAGCCCCCAACACCTTCCAAAGCCTGAAACACTGGGCTTCCGTTTGCCGGAAGGTGGTTATTCTGACGAGGTCTCGAAGGAAGATTGTCCGAAGTGAGCAAGTAGCGGAATTCATCCAATCCTTCCTTGAGACGTCTTTGGACCTGAGCATCGATGTCTTTAACCACTGACCCCAGCGGGCTTTTATTCAAATCAGACTCATAAGTTTGCTCCATTCGTTTAGCCCTGCGAATGGCGGTCAGCAGAGAATCTGGCTCCGAAGAGGCTACTGATTCTTTGATTCCGAACTTGAGACCTCTACAAAAGTGCCGGACTTGCTCTGCGGGTGATACGTTCAAGGCTTTGAACAGACGGAGCATCTCGGTAGCATACTGCCCCACAGTCCCAGTTTGGGTTTTTGCCAAAAGCTCTTGCATGAGCTTGTCCGGATTTTGTTTGACAAATTCAGAGCGAAAGGCGTCAACAAACTCCGGTAAAGTGACGTCATCAGGCAGCATACTGGCCCAAAGACTCGCATATTCACCCTTGCAGGAGATTCGAGCCATCTCAACCAATTGGCCCTCTGTGAGAGAGTAAAGCCTTTGAAATCTTGTCAGATGAGTCAACCAGACTTCTGCCAGACCCCCTTTTTCCCCCTTAAAAGCAGGTAAATCAAGCTTCGGGAGGTAAGAAGCTCTGACTGGGGCTGCTACTGGCTGTTCAACTACCTCTTCCCGACCCGGAAGAACGTTCTGAGAATGCAATGAATGTGTTCTAGGGCCAGCACCTTGAACAGCATCAGCCCGAGGCCC